TGAGTGAGAGAGAGAGGAGGGAAGGTGGCAGTGAGACAGGGCACAAGTGCATGCCTGTATATAAAATAGAAGTTGAAGCATGATTTGATGATTATAGACTAGACTTGGCGCTCGAACGAGCGCAACGAGTCTATTTGCGGCCCGAAACTTGATTACAACATCCCAATAGTAGCTGCCGCCGGGAAGATGGGCAAAGATGCCTCTGCACTTGCGATTCGTGGCCAGGAACCGCAAAGCGACCAGACCGGCAGCCGAGCCAACAGCAGCAGCAGCAGCAGCTGTGCCATTGCCAAAGGGGTGTGGGGTGGGCATAGTGTGAAGAGGCAGTCGAGGCGGCTCCTGGGTACAAAATAAAAAGGGGTTGTCTCGCTGCGGACATTTTCAGCGAATGCGGCCCAAAGGCAAACGCGTCAAATAGTCGAGAAATGGAAACCGGAAATGTTGTTAGCCCAAACCCGTGTGGGCCAACTGCAGTTGGCTCACAAGCTGTGCCGGAAATGGGCGCAAATGCGACAACGACAACGACAAGGCTATTCCCTCAACAGAGGGGGAGCTGACATATGAGTATGCATGTATGTGTGTGTGTGTGTGTGTGTGTGTTGAGTGCCATGTGATTTGTGCGCTATGCAATAATTTACATGCAATTAAATGCCCAACCAGATGCAATAGAACAAGCCGCAAACAGGGCCAAAACACTTTCGCCTAGATTTCGCTATTGACTGTGCTCGCTCTGTCTCTCTCTCTCTGTCTCTGTCTCTTTCTATATATATAAGCACATATAAATAGTAGCAATTGCTTTTGGGAACAGCAAAAGTTTTTTTTTTTTTTCGTTTTGCATCAGTTTGGAATCTTCTTTGGCACTTGCAGCTGCTTCTGTCGGCTTTGTCTCGCTGTCACAGGCACAGCATGTAAATTTATTATACATAGCCACGCCCACTGGACAACGGGACCAATAAACGCGCTCTGTTGTCTGTCTGTCTGTCTTTTTTGGTTTTGACTGTTTTGATCAGGGTGCCAAAGTGCAAGTGAAATTATTATTGCTGTTGATGAGTGCTGACCGCAGCTGGGCAGAGCTCTAGGTGCAATGGAGCAAAAGGTAAACAGGAAATGGGATTGGGATTGGGATTGGGACTGCGACAGAAGACAGACGACAGTCAACGAACTGTTAAGTGAAAATGCATTTGGAATTGCAATGCAAGTGAAATGCATTTCTAGGATTTCCTCTTTCGTGTCTGAGCGCTTAAAAGCTGCCAATGCACTATGAGTTACCTGTATAGGCGTGTGTGTATATATATATATGTGTGTGTGTGTGTTGGTTTGTGAATGCAAAGCATGGCAATGCAATGAACTGGGCGTGGCCAAACGCCCACAGGGCAATTGATTGCAACTATTGTTTGAGCTGCAAACAAAGCCAACAACAATTTACGTATATATTTATATGGGAAAATGTATACACTTATGCGCACAAGTATGTGTATGCTTACATATACATACATATGTGTGTATGTATATTTGTATATTGATGTATCGAAATGCGTCTGCTGGCTTTTAAATGCCGTTACGCCTTTTTATTGTTAGCCACATGCCCTTAAATTTGTCAAGGCGTCTATAAAATGCAGACATGCTTCGCTCTCTGTCTGTCTCTCTCTCTCTCACTCTCCCTCTCTCTTTGTCTTGGCTTGTGCATGATCCGTGCCCTGTCGCTTGTTAAGACATTTTTACGCTCGTTTTTGTCCTTAACAAATTGCATTTCCGTGACGGGTCAACTAATCCCACTCTCTCTCTCTCTCTCTCTTACTTACACACTCTCTCTGCCTCTGCCTCTGCCTTTGCCTCTTCACGGTGCACTCTCTTGACCACATTATTGAATCAGTATATAATGCTCTTTCGCAGCATGCCAACAGTCACACACGCCCACTCCCCGTCCCGTTCCGCCCCTAGCGCAGTCTATCGTCTGCGTCTAATAAAATCAACAGCCGAAAAGTATGCTTTAAAAAGCGTTGCAATGCAGCCAAATGAAATCAGCGAAGTCTGAACTGAGCAGCACTGAGGGCGCTGTTTCTCTCCCTCTCCCTCTCGCTCTCTGTCTGCCCTCTCCACTCATATCAAGCAGCACTTGCTTCCTCTTCTTCTTCTATGTGTTCTTTTTTCCTATTGCTATCTTCTTGATGGCTCTGCTTTTCGCTTTCAGCTGCTTATTGAAAACTCGCACAGAAATCATAAACAACGCTGCGGGGCGTCCATATTCGTTTGTAAATACCCACCCAAAGACGACGGGGCCCACTCTCATTTCATTTTTTTTTTTACTTTTTTTTTAACAGCCCCGCCCACTTTAAACTTATGTAGCGTGCAGCCGCCCCCCGCTACAGTTGGCATTTATTGAAATCTGAAAAAATATAATTGCATGCTTTTAGGGTTGCTGAGCAAAATTGAATGGCACACACACACACACACAGACAAGTGAATTGCTTAGCTAAACAGAATACACACACACGCACACAATGAAAGTAAAAAAAGAAGAAAACTCAAGTTCCAGTTCCTTACATTTCATTCTCTAGCAATTGGAGTTCAAAATTCAGAACAAATTTACAATTATGTATAATAGAAGAAGAGGAAGAAATCTTTATTATACCCTGAACCCATTGAAAATGGGAAATCAGGGTATAATGGTTTTGTGAAAAGTATGTAACAGGCAGAAGGAATCATCGCAGACCCCATAAAGTATATATATTCTTGATCAGGACGACGAGCTGAGTCGATATAGCCCTGTCCGTCTGTCCGTCCGTCCGTCCGTCCGTCCGTCCGTCCGTCCGTCCGTATGAGCAAAAGGATCTCAGAAGATATAAGAGCTAGAGAGCTGAAATTTGGCATGCATACTCGTGTATACCATAGGCAGTACAAGTTTGCTTTATTTTTTCGATAACTCATCCGATAACTTTTTTATCGAGAATAATCGAAAAATCGACTTGGTTTTTTCAGCCTAGTTTGAATACTTTTAGACCTGGAGACTTCAAATTTGCGTTGTATATAAAGTTAATGGATACATAGATTTTGCCATTTACAGATTTTGGATACCACGCCCCCTTCGCCCCCAATTTGTAAAAAACGCATTTCAAGTACTAGAAACTTGTGCTTTGGAATGTACACATATTTTAGCCACATGGTTACGCTCTAAAAGTTTCATTAAGATCGTATGTCTACAAAAGAAATTATTCAACAAATAAATTCTCATAATATTGCCCACATTGCAGCGCAGCCCAAGCGCAGCCGCTGCTTACTGCGCAGTCAGCAGAGCGCGTGCTTATAAGTGCATGTGTATGTATGTGTGCATAAAAGAAGTCCAGACTGATTAGAATATCAGCTTGGAGGGTTCAGGGTATCTCCTAGTCGAGCAGTCTCGACTGGAGCCTTCTTACTTGTTTTTATTTAAATTTTATATAGAATTCTTGCTATTAAGCACAAATTGGGTTTACGGCTCGAAGCAACTCTCTGATTTCTAGTTGAGACTTAATGAATCGTAAAAATATGTGGAAAATATGTTAAGAATTTTGTTTATTATTATTATATTGAAGTGTAGTAAATTTTTTTCTTTACACAGTCAAGTCTCGATAATTCGAAATGGCAAGGACATCATTTTTTTTTTTTTTTTTTTCGATTTACACAGAAGTTCAAATTAGCGACATTTATATAGAACGATTTAATTTCAAGCGAATAGACTTTTTTCGATTTATCGCGATTTTTTTATCTAGCGGGATACGAATTATCGAGACTTGACTGTAATTTAATTAACAATTTATACATGATTTTTCTACTTTTGAATATTTTAAAGCCAAAGGCCTTTATCTAGAGAGGATTTTGGAGCTATTTTGCCCTATCTGTTATTCTTTTATTGTATTAAGATGTAATTTTTATTATATTAAGGCACAATTCCTTTTTGAGCTCCCCGAAGCATTATAAACTCGAACTTTGATTGGACAGCTCGAAATTTATTTATATTAAAAATGAATCTCAAGAGCATATTTCCAATTAGGGCTTTGAGTGTACTTATATAAGTACAAGTAGTGCAATTAGTGGTACAAGTAGTGCACTTCTTTGAGCACATGTTTACAGTGAGTGTTTTGTAAATGTTTCTTTGCTACATTACAGAGGATCTCGGTCTTGTAGGCATTGTTGTGAGTAGAGCCTATCCAGCTTAATCTGTATATGTACATAGATATATTAAATACAACATTTTATTTTAGACAAAAGTCTAGAGCTGTCGTAACTCTGCTAGTTATAAGCACTCTCTACCCTCTTCGTATTCTCTCCTCGTATTTATGCATTGACGCATAGATTTAGCTGGAACTCAGTTTGAAATTGAAATAATTTCTGTGGCGGTTGCGTGACTTTAAGTGAAACGCTCATTATAAAAACTTTTTACAGGCGATTAACGGAAAACGCCAAGGTTCTGGTTCTGCTTCTGGGTCTGGCTGGGGCTGCAGCTGCTGCGCCTCAGCTCGTGGACCACTTGACCAGGTCCGGGAGTCAGTCTGTGTGGGTCTGCAATTTGCGCTTGCCACACGACTTGGCTGCCTTGTCGCAGCGTCTGCAAAGTTTTCTTTGCCCGCCAGGACAAAAGGACGCACCGACTTGCTCAAGCAGTCGAGTAGAGGGAGGGGCTGGCGGGGCAAGGCGTTGCATACTTGGAGGCGCCGCGGCGTATGCAATACCAATTTATCATTTATCATTGTTTTTTGGAGGGAAAAATGGAAGCTGGGAAGCTGGGAAACTGGGAAACTGGGAAACTGAGAAATGGGAAATTTATGTGCGCGCATTTTTAACGCAACATTTAACGCGAAAAGCGGACGGGGCCAAGTCGGAAGTCGATGTGAAAGGAATCAAGCGCTGATTTACGTGGCGGAATTATGACAACGGCTCACTTAGTTGTTCTCCCCCTCCCCAGCCACTCCCTCGCAGCTGTTTACTCATTCCATCTCTCTCTCTTCTCCTTCCCATTGCAGACGTTCATTGTGCGTGGCTCCAGCCAGCCGAACACGATGGCCGTGTCGGTGCGCCTGCCCCAGGACACGGGCCCATACATCGAGCACTATCTGATCCAGTCGCAGGACAACATACTCAGCCTGGAGAGCTCACGCTTCAAGTTTGGCTCCATCCCAGCGCTGATCGCTCACTACGCCCAGTGCTGCGACGAGCTGCCCGTGCAGCTGATGCTGCCACGGGTGCTGCGCGAGGCGAACAATCGCAAGAAGCTCTCGTCGCTGGCGCTGCTCGGCCAGGAGTTCTGGAGCTATGCCAGCAGTCCGGCTGTGCTGGGTCCGCCCGTTATGGCCAAGACAAATCTCACGGCCATCGAGCAGCAGCAGCAGCAGCAGCAGCAACAGCAACAGCTGCAGCAGCAACAGTTGCTGGATGCCAAGTCGCCGCTGTCGCTCACAGAGACGAGCGGCCTGGGCACGGCCACGTTCTTCAGCGATGCTCTGGTGGCCAAGCCGCCGGCTGTGGCCCCGCCCCAGACCCTGTTCAGTCCCACGGGCAGCAGCCAGCTGCTGGGCTTCTTCAGCCAGGCGGGCACGCCGTCGGACACCAACTCGAGCATGAGCTCGTTCACGACCAGCGGCGGCCAGCACATGCAGCTGCTGAGTCCCAATTCCGTGGACTCGGTCATACTGACCATGTCGCCGGTGGATGCGCAGGGCTATCTGCCGGGCGGTGGTGGCGGCGGCGGCGGCGGCGGCGGTGGCTTGGAGCAGCCACTGCAGCCGCATGGCAGCAACAATTTGAGCACCTTCAAGACGACATCGGCGGCTGTGGCGAGTATTACGGAACTGGAGCAGGTGCGTCCGCAGCGACCGAAGCCGCCGAACACATTGAATCTCAAGCCGCCGGCGCCGCCAATGCGCTGGTCCAAGCCCCACTCGCCGGATCAGCTGGGCAACAACTTTACGGTGACCACCACGGTCACCTTTTCCATGGAGAACAACAACAACAGCAACAACAACAACATTGCCAGCAATGGCATCAACAGTGCAGCCATGGCCAAGCCGAATCCCGCCCAGTTTGTGGAGGTAACAACGCCAGCCGCGAGCAATCCCTTCAACGCGCTGCTCAACTCACAGGCCAGCACCAGCACGTTCCAGACCTTCGCCAAGCGCCTGTCGCCCGAGGGCGAGTGCAAGGATACGCTCTCATCGCAGGGCTCCTCCTCGAACGACAGTCGCTGGCAGTCGCAGTCGCAGTCGCAGTCGCAATCGCAGTCGAGTCGCGACTCCAGCCACAGCCAGCGGAAGATGCTGTCCCCAATGACGCCCAATGGCGCTGGCCACCTCCTGCCCGGCGTCGGCAGCACCAGCAGCAGCAGCAGCAAGTCACGCAAGTCGCGCATACGCAAGGAGTCCAAGCACTACCAGGAGTCGGACATACTGGAAAGCCCGCCGGCGCAGTACTGTGCCAGCGCCCTGAGCGACAAGATCAGCGACTACGAGGACGTCTGGACGCACGATCCCAGCGATCGGGCTAGTCTCCTAACCAGCTTCAAGCCCGGACTGGACAATGGCGGTGTCTTGAATCGACGACCTGACCTGCTGGCCGAGACACGTAAGTAGAGATTGCACTGAAGGAGCAAGAGCCCCTCTCATCTAGACTCCATTGAAGATCTAATCCTTTATTGCTCTCTCTCTCTCTCTCTCTCTCTGTCCAGCAGCTAGCACACCCACGCAGCAGCAGCTGCTGTCACCCTGCGATGAGACCAGCGCTGGCCAGGATAGCAGCCAGCAGCTGATGCAGTTCTCGGGCGATGCCCCGGCTCGCTCCCGGGCCGGCCTCCTCCTGCCGAATCTGGGCAATGCGGCACCAGCCATGACGCAGTCGCTGACGGAGCCGAGCGCCGCCGATGATGGCGGAGACACGACGCCCACTGCGGCACAGACACCGGGCTCACGCAGCAAGCAGGGCAGCCCCACATATGCAGAGCCAGCGGATGCACTGCGTCAGGCGGGTCTGACCAATGCTGCGGCGGCGATCTTGCGCAGGCAACAGCGCAGCCAGCTGCTGCCCGCCAATCAGCGGCACTCGGAGCCGCTCAAGGGCGGCCATGCAGCGGCCGCTGTGCCGCTGCTGCTGCCCGCCGATCTGGAGAAGTTGGCCGGCAGCCTGGACGAGCTGAAGCAGAAGCCAAAGCCGATGGCTCAGCAGGCGGCGAAGCGTGGACGCACTCGCATCGATCACTGGCAGCTGGACAGCAGCTGGGAGTTTATGGCCAAGCAGGAGACGAACGGCGGCGGAGGAGGCGGCGGCGACTATGACACCACTGTCGACTGGCAGGAGAAGGAGAACTCGCTGGGACGCGACAAGGATGGCTCCAAGAAGCGGCCGCTTACCGTGCACCAGATCATTGCCAAGCGTCTGCCCGATCTTAATCTGCCGGAGCTCGTGCGCTGCTCGACTCCGCCCCAGATGCCGGCAGCAGCAGCAGCAGCAACAGCAGCAGCAGCAACGTCGACGACGACGACGACGGCGGCAACGGCGATAACGACGAGCGCAGCCCCGCTGCAGGAGAAATCGAATGCCGATGGCAGCCAAAAGTCATTCCAGAGCCAAAGCGGCTGTCGACTGTCCTCGTACGACAACGTGGAGCGCAATTGTGCCGCATTCTGTCAGACCTACTACGGCGGCATCGACTCGGCGCAGTCGGACGATGGCACAGTCTTCTCCGAGCCCTGGGACTCCTCCCAGTGGGACTCCTTCATGCCGATGCAGGATGGTAAATCTAGCCAACACCGTCCCTATGGATTGTCCAGCACAGCAGCTTAACTAATCTGTAATTTCCACCTCTTTTAGATGCCACCATCAATTCGGATACCATTCATCTGTCCAAGTGCCGGCCGGCGCTCTCGGAGGATGACACCATCATTGAGGAATTCAGCAGCACCAAAGACGGCAGCACCAGCAGCTGCAACCAGGATACGCTCAAGGCCAATAAAAATGGCACCAGCGCCGGCGCTGGCAGCAACAACAATAACAACAACAGCAACAACAAAGCAATGCGACCCAAGGTGGCGACCATTCTAAGGAATCCAAGCATGCGGGATCGTGAGATATTATGTGAGTATGAGAACTTAAACGATAAGACATATAAGTGTGTTTAGAGGAGTGAGAATGGGAGAGTGAAGAGGAATAGTCGATCGAGTTGATTGAACTGGTCGAGTTGATGGAGTTAATCTATTGATGGAGTTGATAGAATTGATCGAGTTGATCAAATCACTCCTGTTGGAGCTGATGGAAATAATTTAGGTGATAGAGTAGATTGAATTGATAGAGTCTACTGAGCTTGATCGAGGTGATAGTTATCCAAGGATCTTCGCATCTACAGATCATCGCATGCCAAAACAAATTACCCTACAAATTAGAAATTTCTGGATTGAGCTCTTACATGTGAACTGATCGCGTTGATCGAACTGATCCAGTTCATTGAGTTGATGGAGCTGATCAAATTGCACAAATATGTTCAAGGATCTTCGCATCTACAGTTGATCGTAGGAATAGAAAGGAAAACAAATGATGCTACAAATTAAATACCACCAAAAAAAATCGAAATTTCTGGAGTAAAATCTTCAATATGAATTGATCAAGTTGATAAAGTTGAGCAAATTGATCCCGCTGATCGATCTAATTGATGCTCCATCGATTATTGATAATTAATTAACAACAGTCCAAGGATCGTCGCAGCAATAAATGCAATTGCAATTACAGAAACCAAATGAACATTTTCGAAAGGAACTATTCAGATTTCTGGATCGAGCACCAAGTTTATCTAGCAATGACTATTATCAATGTGGCTCTGTATGCTCTCGCCGGCACTTTATCAATGGACAGCCGATCGTCATCGTCATCATCATCATCATCGTATGCTCAATTGCAATCGCTTGTTATTGTTGCATCATACTACGCTCCATGGCCTCCATGGAGCAGCAGACAAAAGCAAATACGGGTCGATCACGAGCGATCAGACGAACGATGGGGCGATGCGTCGTCATCGTGCGCCTATTGACTGACTGCCTATTTGTTTGTTTGTTTGCTAGTTTGTTTGATTGATTGATTGATTGAGCGCACGGGTTGCTCGTTTACCAAATCTTAAGCAAACGAAGCGTCCACGAGCGGAGGCTATCGTTGAGCGAACTGCTTCGAACTGGTAAACCGAACCGAACTGAACCGAACCGCAGTCTGATTATCAGCATCGGCCGCAGCTTCAGATGCTGCCTCCGCCTCAACCCCTGTTTGCAGTCTGGGGACTACAAAGTCTTTGCCGAAACTTATCTGGCGCGCAATGCGTGCTGCATCGACACATATGCAGCAGCATGAAATGCGTCGCAGTTAGCCAGCTAAAACAAATTTGATAAGTTTCAGGCGTCGGACATAGAATTATATAAATATTGATGCAGTCATGCACTTTGGAATGTAAACTCGACGTCGACTGCTGCCTCCGCTGCCTCCGCTGCCACTGCCTCTGCCGCTGCTGCTGCTGCTGCTGGCTGAGTTTTTATCAGCGCGCGTTTTAAAACGCGCCGTGTCTCTCGCCGCTCAATGGGATGCGTAATTTGCCAGGCCAGGCATAGAAGACGCGACCGATTAGAGTGTTCAAGCCCAAGACTTTTCGAATCGGTTCTGCGCTCTATTTTAGGTCAGCGCATGGCTGATGAAATGCACACAGAGAGCTACGCAATGGGTGGCAATTTTATTTTTGGCGTCTGCTCAGTCTGGGTACGGACTATTTTTAGATTTGGGTCCACTCTAAAAGACACGTGCTCTGGCTTTTCTCCAGCGAAATCCAACTGTGTTTGCTCTAAGCAACAATTTCGCGTTGTCAAGCACGATAAGCAAGTGGATAAGCAAACGGTTCGCTGAACTCACCGAAACAAATTCTCCTAAAGGGCACCTTGATGCACCGTTATCTGGACGGTGCAGTAGAGCCGTAAATAAGCCGAACGGAAATCGTCGAACACCTGGAAACCTGCCCAACTGCCGGCAAAGTAGATAATGCTGCAGTTCAATAGAACTTCGAATGAAAGTGGGCAAGGTGAGGCGCCGGAAAATCAAATAAATTAAAGGTTTAACTCTACCGGCACCGACTATTTCAGTTGTTATCTCTAGTAATATATTGTCAAAGTTACTAAAGTCTGATATGTAAGATTAACTATAGTAGATAATAAGTCCGAAGTTGACGTGAGCTCACAGAATATACAAATCCCCTGGTAAACATATTACAAAGGGTTACACCCCTTTCTATGAGCATTATAAATTATATATTATAAATACCTCAGTTCCCATTTCATATACAACAAATAAATCGCTTGCATAGATCATTATCGCAGTTAGCTCTAATCTCTCTGTCCCTGAAATAGCATCTCTCTCATTTCTTTAATCTTGTGCAGCCTCTTGCGAGGAACACTTCCTGCACACAGACGCTAACGAGCACCTTCACAGAAACCTCCAATCCAAAGGTTTTTCCAAACTACGCAGCAAAATAACAACAACAAAATCGAAGCAGAGCAAACCAATTCCTCAAGCTAAGTTTAGGCTTCGTAAAGCTGATGCAATCGTAAGGTGCAATTGCATTAGAGCGGGATCTCTCGCCGTTTTCATTGTTGTCGATTGATCGGGGAATCTTTCGTAGTGGAAACGTCATCGCTGCCAGACATTAGACAGACTGTCGTTGAGAGATTTCTCTCTTCCCGCTCTCTTTGTGTCATGCAAGCGTCGAGCATGAATCAACTCTTTATCTCAATAGCCTTGCATAACGAACACCCAGCGCTCGCTCCCTGAGGCTCAGCCGCAGCTCTCCCTCTTTCTTTCTCTCTCTCTCTGTCTATCTGGCGCAATCTGTGGCCTACCTGCAGCAGGTATTTCAATTTGCATGTTGAATGATGACAAAGAGAGAGGGAGGAGGGAGGGCATTTACCTAAGCCAGCATTGCGTTTCGTAACCCACTCAGCCGCTGACTCAGTGGCATTTCCTCTTGACACAGTTTCTCCTCCACTCAGGCAGCTGTTCTTTCTGATAAGGCTTTGACTTTCGCTGTTTAGGACTTGCGCAAAATCGAGAAGAAAAACTTGTGTGGCAGGTACTGTCCGTCCGGAAATTCCCAGTTTACCCGGATTAACAGTGGCCCGATCCCTGCCAGAAGCTACCTGCAGGCAGGCGGGCAGGCGGTTTGATGGGGCGGGCGGGACAAATTGACAAATTGAGGTCGCCGCGCCTTGCAATTTAGGCCGCAGCTGCGACGTCGGCGTCGCGCTAGTTGCTATCGTTTCGTAGAGGCGCAGCGAGCGTCGGCGTCGCTGCCAACGTCAGCGTCATCGTTATCGTTGTTGCAGTCTTATAAACTAATGCGTATGAAGTTCAGCATTAGTTTTGCATTGGCCGCGTTTAGAGCAACACGACGCAACGGCAATAACAATTCGCTACAACAACAACAACAACAACAGCAACAGCAACGACAATAAATTAATAATTAATTGTAATCGATCTGCAACGCCGTCGATTGTCGATCGATAACACCAGCAGCAGCAGCAGCAGCAGCCCCGCGCCCCTCTTCGCAGCAGCAGCAGCGTGTGCCGATGAGAAACTTGCGTTTTCGCCAATTCGTTTTAGCTGGCAAAAATCGCTACAGAATCCATCATGAGCTGGTTCAGAAGATCGTCGCGCGCACACCCCGCGAACCGCCCCGCCCCCCTTGCGAGGGGCGCTGGCAATAGCATAGACATGTCAAAGTCGCTGTGCAGCCTGGATGAGCAGCGCATCGAACGTCTCGAGCCAGAGGAGTTCTTTCACGATCCCGTCCATGTGCGCCACTACAAGGAGGAGGCGAAGTTCCTAAGCTTTATGGCCGACTGGGAGATAGTCGATCATCCGCAGCAGGAGAATTACTTTTCGGCTGACTTCGAGGAGGAGCTACTGCAGCAGCGCACACAGACGCTGCCACGCACACGTCACACCCACAGCCTGGAGGAGGACAAGCTGGTCGCGTCCTCCTCGGAAGCCACACAGCCGATGCAGCCGTCGAGGCGCAAACGCAAATTCCTGGAGCTGCTGTTCGTCGAGAATATCCGAACGGGCATTGCGCTACCCAGCGATGGCAACGGCCTCGAGCAGCACCTGCAGCCGCAGCAGCAGCAGCAGCAGCAGCAGACGGTGCTGTGCAAGAAATCGAAGTACGCCAGCAGCAGCCTGTCCAGCCTTGGTTCCATATCAACGGCCACAACCACCACAACCTCAAACACATCGACGACGACGACGATGACGATGACGACGACGGCCACCTGTCCGCAACAGGTGCTCAAAGACTGCCGCATCAATCGCAAGCAACTGAAGACTGAAGCACTCGCCGGCTCCATCATGGGCGCCATTGGCAAATGCCCCAATCCCGAACTGAAGCCCACCGTCGGCGGCACCGCCTGCCCGGACGTCTGCCATCCCGGCGAGCGCAACACCTGTGATCACTACGATATCAAGCAATTCTTTCACCTGGACGACCAGGGCAACATACTGCTCAACATGGCACACATTGTCGAGTGCCGTGCCCTGGGCCTGGCCCTCCAGGCCCAGAGCCGTCGCCTCTATCGGCGCTATCGGCGCGGCTGCGAGTGCGCCGACGAGAAGCCGTGCGATAAGCCCGGCTGCTGCACGCCCTTCATCTTATTGCTGCGGCTGCTCTGTCGACTGCTATTCGGTAAGAAGCTGGAGAGGATTGCTCCCATTGACTCATAGGCGATCGCGCTCTCCCTCTCTCTCTCTCTCCCTCTCTCTCACTCTCCCTCTCACTCTTTATGCATATACCATACTTGTCTCACTTGTCCATACTGACGTCTCGCTTGCTTGCAGGCCATCCCCGGAATAAGATGAACATTCAGAGCGTCGGGCCGGGCGACTCGCTGCGCGCGTACACGCTGCAGTTGGCCCAAGATCCCAACTCCACGTTCGCCCGCAACATTGAGAACTTCATCAGCTGCACCAAGGAGTCGAGGGAGGCGGCGCCCCAGGTGGTCATGCGCAACATGCGCCAGTTCATGAGCGGCATGAAGAACTATTTGGTGAAGCATGGCGAGGGCAAATTCCATGCGGAGCTGGAGTCGGCGCGCGCCCGCCTCAAGTCCGATGAGTTTCTCAATTTGGACGCCATGCTGGAGACGGTGATGCACCAGCTGGTGGTGCTGCCACTGCGCGAGCATCTCTACGGCATCTTCGTGGACTACTACAAGCGCAGCGAGGACATTCAGCTGCTCGCCCAGAATGTGCGCTACGCCTACGAGCGGGATGCTTCCGACTTTGGGATACGGCCCACAGTGACGCCGCCGTCGCAGTCGGCGCTGCGGCTCATCTCGAATCTACTGTGGCGTCTGCAGGAGGCCGAGCTGCCGCTGGACAAACTGGAGCTCTTCCTGTGCGTCATATCGACGGTGTTCGATGCGACGGGCTGTCCGCGGGGCCAGCAGTTGGGCGCCGATGATTTTCTGCCCGTGCTGGTCTATGTGGTGGCCAAGTGTGGATTCGTTGGCGCCGAGATCGAGGCGGAGTTCATGTGGGGTCTGCTCCAGCCGACGCTGCTAAATGGCGAGCCCGGCTACTACCTCACCGCCCTCTGCAGCGCCGTTCAGGTGCTCAAGACGTTCATGGCATCCGAGGGGGAGAGCGGCAGCGGTTCACTAGACGTAAGTACACCAAGCCACAGCACCAACTGAATGCACACTTATCTCTCTCTCTCTCTCTCCCTCTCTCTCTTCTCTCTCTCTGCTGTTGTAGTGGCGCTCCAGCTGCTTGCCGGCCTGCTCGAGCGTGCTGCGCGTCATCATACCGGACGAGTGCAACGGCTCGCTCCAGACTCGAACGCTGCCCGTGCGGCCGCACACGACGACGCGCGAGGTGTGCCGGATTATAGCGCATAAGGCGCGCATCACCAATCCGCAGGACTATGCGCTCTTCAAGCTGGTCGACGGCGAGGAGACGCTGCTCACCGATGCCGAGTGCCCGCAGGATGCGCGGCTCGCTGCCAAGGGCAAGCACTGCATGCTCGCCTACAAGCGCATCGATGCCAAGATTGCCTGGCCCACGGCTGCACAGCCGGGCAGTCATTGATGCCACCGGCCACGCCCCCTACCTACTGCCAACTATACCCATACCCTTACCCATACCAGCCATGCCAACCGGCCTCGCCCGCGCCCACGCCCGCGCCCCTTTCCCTCTCCCTGTCCCTGTCCGTGCCCAACGGCCCCATCTTGCTCACTAACAAGCATATTTGATTAATAATTTATTATTATTACATTAAAATATACTTAGTAGCCTGTAAGTAAAGCTAATTAACGCTAATACATCTAATGTGTACTAAACAACAACAGTATTGAATTAAGAGCGGTTTTTTTTTTAAATATATTTTTTAATCTCATCTCTCGCCAACAACATTCAAATCATCAAAACGTCATCAGAAACATCCAGAAGAAAAGATCGAACAGCCTGTTCGCAATAATTTTTTTTTGCTAATAAATATACGAATATAAAAACATATAAAGAAAACAAAATAAAAACTATGTATACAACTATATATACTACATAGATATATATACATATATACCTATATATATCATATATATGCGTAGTTCGTAGTGGGCCAAAGGTATAGCACAAGGCCATTTATTATAGAGGTAATCCCAGACAGACAGACAGACACAGACACACTCACACACACATCTATCTATATTGCACTCCTTATAGGCAATTTATCTAAAATACATATATGATCTATAAACTCAATAACAATCGATGACCAATTGCAGCAACAAGAAAACAATCACAATTTTAATGCAACACACACACACAAACACACACACACACATATATACAAAGCAAAGCATTTATAGCTATCTTTTTCTACTTGGGAGGGTTATGAAAGCAATTAATCACAACATCTAACACATTTACATATACATATACATGAATATGTATATACATATATATAACGTATGATTAATAACGGTTAACTTTAATATTTATGTACAACTAAAACCAACAACAGCTATCGGAAAATGTAATTTTTTTTTGTTTTTTTTTTTTATTGTATACTTTGTAAAATATGGCAAACCACAAGGCAATTATTTAATTAATAATAAACAATAATAATGGAAAATTTTACAATGTGTCTTTCATTTCAATTAAATTCGCGTGCAGCCGCAAAGTAGGCAACAGTTTTTTTGCAAGAAATGTATTTATAGGTGGATGCAAATTTTTGTAGCATACTTTTAAGCCGGTGTATATATTTAATATCAATTTTCAAATATTTGTGGTACTCCTAGAGCTTAACTCAACTATGAATTGTGCCATATTTAAAAATGTTAATATGATATGATACTTTGATGTGATGAAATCACTTGCCTTCAAGCTCAAATATTTACGATTAGTTTCGAAATAAATGAGCAAATATTGATTAAATTATATCAATTTATACTTCTGATTAAACTCTAAAGAAATGTGCAAATTTTAAATTTAAATTTTATACTTGAAAAGAATTTAATGAAATACAAAAATTGCTTGAATTGCTAAGTTTAAAGTTGAAATGAATCATTAAATGAACCAAGATAAGCTACTGTTAAATTGTTAAATTAAGTGCTGCAAAAATCGTCACCTGTTGCCTAAGATCTCGACAGCACACATATAGAGCCTAGATCGGGGACTATCGCATACTTGGCGCCTGTCTAAAGACGTGTCTCAGCTTTCAGCACTGTGGGTTCAACAATAAATGGAAGACGACGCGACAGATAATTGATAATTGATTTGCCAAATTGATTAGGGAGCCAGATTTCGAGAATCAACTTAGCTCGAATGCGCGCGCACACACACACACATACACATATAGGCATTTTGATTATTGGAAAATTAATTATCAACATGTGCGCCCCGACCTATTGTGGCTGTGCCAGTGTCAATGTGCACATGTGTGTCCATATATTTTGTTTGCTTGAATTGATTTATATATTTTGTGATTTTCGCCCTATGCAAGAAAGAAAGAAAACGATTTTATTGGCCCGTCGCAATGTGAATCGTTTGCACAACTATTGCTGTTGTTGCAGTTGCTTTATATGGAATATTTTATTTTGATGGCACATTAATTTAGGTGTGATAAGGACCACACACACACACACACACACACCCCACACATATACAAAACTGACGGTCGCTCAACCCACAAATCAAAATGAAATAAGTACGTGCACAAAAGCGCGCACAAATCGCGCACGCGACTTTAAACGCGCCGAATAGCCGTAGCCCCAGAGCCAATTATAACCCCAAGTGTTGAGACAAACGGCCGCCACTGTCCCCAGTTATTGGTACTTCGAATGCCAGCTGCTCATAAATTGCAACAATTCCAATTGATAATCATGTACATATATATGCCTCAAATGTCACTCTAGTCTCTATGTGTATGTATGTATGTGTGTGTGTGTGTGTGTGTATAAATCGCAAACTGATCGCTGCCAAAGTCGTGTTAAACGCTCTTGCTCATATTTCTGTATTTTTGGCTTGTGGCTTATCAGCAGCGCTGCCGTCAGAGACAACAACAAATTTAGAACAATAACAACAACGACAGCAGCAACAAATAATAATATAAGAATAATAAAACATGAGCTAAGAATACTGGAGAATTGGGAGTGATCGACTAGAAAGCGATTTCCAAATTTATTTGAATTCTTAAATATGTTTGATCTATTATTTGTTATTATTTTATATTAAATAAAAGAGACAGTTGAATAATTTATACAGCTTTCAAAATCAATTTCATTTATTTTCGATTTGATGTTTGTATTTCTGAACTTTTGCTTAATTAATTTCGAGTCTGTTGTCTATTCTCTCAACTTATCAGCTGCGTTTGTCGAAATTGGCATACAAAGTTATATAAATATGTCCGCTGGACTTCAACCCAATGGTAACAGAATTTTGAACTTGTAAAGGCTCAAGATTGATGCAGTTCAATAGGCACTCCGACTGAGATTTATCATTCTGCATTCTTCTTGCACTACGGCGAGATCTGTTACAAACACTGGCATGCAAATGATATGCTCCATCAGTTGGGGCACTTCGAGTGGGTTGAGGGTATGGAAAGGTCCACTGACGCGATAATAAAACATTTTTGCACCCCAGATGTGCTCAGCTGCTCGAGCCAGACGCCGAAGTTGAAGTCAGGGGGAACACACCAGACCGCAGGGAGGCCGGGCAAGGGGCGGGCTGCGGATTCTTTGATTAGACGTACTTAAGTACAAAGCAACAACAACCATGTCAACTGCTAATAAATATTACTTTCAGTGAGTGAGTGAGAGTGTGTGTGCAAGTGTGTGCGAGTGTGTGCGAGTGTGTGTGCGTGTGTGTGTGTGCGACTCAAGTGGGCTGTTTAGTAAATTTGTCGCGGGCATTAAGAGTGCTCCAAAGTTTTGAGACTTGATAAGTAGCGATCATAAACGTAGTCGCGTCGAACAATTTGATACGACCGAACGAACGACAGCCATCGACTGACCTCATGCGAATGCCCTCCATGAGTCAGAGTCCTTAACATCTTCGGCATGATGTCATTTTCTGCACTGCCATTCACTGCGCACTGACCTACGAATATATTTATAAAAATTCATTTTAAACAAGTGTTTTATTATGGCTATTTAATAATCTCATTTATTTATATTGGGCTAACTCTCGATTGTTGTTCATAAATTTGTATTTTGATTTTTTAATAATCTAAATAATAATTGACACTCAAATTAAGCATTAATTAATTTGAATTCCAAGGTTTTTATAATACAAATATTTTTTATTTTTATAGATACTTTTCATGCTTAATAAATCACAATCTGTTTTGTATTATATTTCTTGCTAACTTAATAATTTTGGTATATACTCGAGGAACTAAATAAATAAATATTAATATAAGTATTTATATTAACAACTCTTAAAAATGTTCGCATTGTGAGAAAATACGAAATAATAAAGTATTTATAAATATTTATATTTTTTTGTAAATTATAGCATAAAAGTAGTAATAATATGTAAAAATTAATATGAATTTATTTGAAATTGGAATTTTTGTGTTTTTATTATTATTATTAATGTTAATAAAAATTGATTTGTAATTATTTTTTCTATATTTTTTATTATTTTTTTGTTAAATAATATTTTTATATATTTATAAATCATTTATTTATAATAATAAAAAATACAAACTATCATAATAATAATTAAAAATACTTGAAATTATTTTGTGTAATTTATGATGACTTTTTATTCAATGGAAATGTAATTCTTGTATATATAACTATTATTCATTTTTTATTGTATATATACAAATATTTATTTATTTATTTAGTTAAATAATTCAGCCCCCACAGCCTCGCCTTCAAAATCACTTTGAAGTGTTGCTTGAAAATGTTGAAGATGCTCTTGGGCCGTCTAAGATTTAAGCTACTCAACGCTACGCATATTCATTACATAAACTTGCTATAAACAAACCCAAACACCCATCGAGCAGCCAATGTCAAAGTTCACCTTGGCCCAGTGAAGCGAAGAACTGTTCGATTGACCCACGTCAGGCAGCGCTCAGCATTGGCCGCGCGTGTTTATCCCGAAAACAACGAGCACGGCAGGGTCCGTGCTTAGTGGACCTGTATCCGTGTGCGGCTCTGTGTGTGTGCGGGCTTGGCATGTGCGTGTGTGTGTGTGTGTGCATGCATATATTACGCATACGCCTGTTGCGCCTCGTGCGCAACGAAGACGACAATCGGCATCGGCGTCGGCATCGGCATCGACATCGACGCGGCTGGATCAGTCGCGTTGTACAGCAGCGGAGGCGCCGAACCGTTGGCAGATCGCAGTTCAGTCAATGCTTGGGTCTGGTGCGCGTCGTTCGACTCTGCCCAATTGATATAGTTAGTGAATATATTATATACATACACACACTCGTCTATATACACATATATAGATAGAAACATTTTTTTTTTTCTGTGTTACGATTACCGTTGTTATTGTTGTTATTCCGATTTGCGTCGCAGTCCCGGCTGGCCAAACAGAAGAAGCGATGCGATCGCGCGCACACAGAGGAGAAGCAGAGACAGCCATAAAGAGCTTATAGAAAATAAAGTACAACAACAACCACAATAAGAAAACAACACACTCTTGAATAACAAACAACAAACACACACACACACACACCCACACACACACACACACACACACACACATACATACGTGCATATAAAGAAATACATATAGAGAGAGACTCGCATTGGCATTGCATCGATAGAGGCAGCCGTATAGGCCAGTAGTGAAGTTGATCGGAGCAATGGAGCTGTATACGTCGGATAGCTCGGACACCGATTCGCGCGAGCAGAAGACCATCGACTTTGGTCGCATGAATCTGGATGTGGGCACACTGGAGGATCACCTCAGCTCGCCACACAAGGCGCTGCTGAAGACCAGCGGCGACATCGAGACCATGCTGCTCAATCACAATCGCCTGGTGGCGCTGCCGCGCGTGCTGCAGCAGTTCACCAATCTCAAGATACTCGATCTGAGCTCAAATGCGCTCACCCAGCTGCCGGATGCCATTTGCCAGCTGCCGCTGGTCACGCTGATAGCCAAGAATAATCTGTTGACCAACTCGTCGCTGCCCAAATCCCTGCTCACCAAGCAGATGGGCAATGTGCATGGCGGCACCTCCACGCTGAAGGAGCTCAATCTGAGCGGCAATCAGCTGATCCACTTCCCCGAACAGGTCACCGAGCTGCGCCAGCTCAAGTATCTGTATTTGGGCGGCAACAAGATCTCGAGCATATCCAAGGATATCTGGAAGATGCAAAGGTATCGGAAATGTAAACAATTCCTACAGAGCCAAACCCTTAGTCCCGGCTCTCTCCATACCTACCTCCCTCCCTATCTCCCTCCTTTCCTCTCTTTCTATCTTTAAATTTAAGTGATACTTTAAGGCTTTGAGCGGCAGATGGAGCGTAAGCTTATCCAGGAACAGCCTAGAGACAGTAAGCTATCAAGATAGGAGCTTAAGCTTATCCATGAACATCAGAAGGAATCAAAATTCCACGCACACCCGACAGATCTATCGCAATACTTATCTCATATCCCAGTCTTTCCTTTCTCTTTCTGTTTGTCTCTCTCTCTCTCTCCCTTTCTTAATGTTGTGCTTTTTGGTGACACTTTAAGGCTTTGAGCAGCAGATGGAGCTTAAGCTTATCCAGGAACAGCCTAGAGACAGCAAGCTATCAAAATTCCACGCAAACGAGACAGATCTATCGCATTGCCTATCTCTTACCGATAGATTCTCATCTCTCTTTCCCTCTCACTTCCTCAATATTGCTCTCTTAAATAATAATGTATAGCTTTGAGCAGCACTTTGAGCTTAAGCTTAGCCATGAACATCTGAAGGAATCGAGATGCCACCAGACAGATTTATCGCATTGCCCATCTCTTACCCTCAATCTCTCTGTCTCTCTCTCTCTCTTTCCCCTTCTCTCTGTCTCCCTCTGACACTGATAGCTGTACAGCTGATCTCCTATTTGCAATGATCCAGTTCCCTGCTAATATTAAGTATACGTTATTGGTTTAAGCAGCTTCCTTTCTTCCTTCCTTCCATTCGTCAGCTCGTCAGCTCGTCAGCTGTTTTGTAGTGCTTTGCATTTGCATTTTCGCACTGGCTCGCAGCCTGCTCAGCCTCAGTTGTTGTCAAGCGTAACACTTTGGTGGAGAATCGACAACGGCGGTTGGGGGTTCAAGTCTATTTGATGGTCTGATAAGCGGACTTTCGAGTGGCTTCGGGCGCGCATTGTAAAAGCCAAATCTATCGCGAAAATAAATGAAACACGCACACTCGACACACTCATAAAAATAAATATATATAATATTTAGAGAGAGGGAGAGAGAGAGAGAGAGAGAGAGAGATACATATAGGTATCAATGGGGCATTTTTATAAGTAAACACAATAATAAATATAAAACAAAAGAATATGTGAGCCAATTCGAAGTGGAAACACTTATCTCAAACGCCGAGCTTCCTGACCAGCAACAGCCGATTACGGAGTTTGGAAAAACCGATTCCAGCCGAGCAACAAAGTGTAGCGAAACGGTTTCTATTTATCAGTCTGATTAATATCGTTAGACAATTAGATAAGACTTACGATAGCTCGAACAATCTATTCCCATATCAATTTAAGGCTATAAACATAACATATAAATAATAATAACAAAGAGCCGTTTTTTTTTATTGTCGTGGGACTTACCTATAAAAGAAAAAGCGAAAGAAAAAAACACTAAATCAAGTCTCATTATCTAGTGATACCAACTATCGAGAAATGAACATTTGGACCTGCACTATATCAAGCTCTCCTTATCAGGTGTTTGCTTCAAAAGCTCTTGCCCTATTTAGAAAATTATTCAGAGCTAACAAAGCCAAGATTATTTACTATAATACCAGTATGACGTTTATCTATAGACTCAAAACCGGGTGACTTTTATCTCAGAAAGCTGCCTTGGATACAGCGCCCCCCCCTGAATAGAAGTGTTATGCCTAAGCACTTATATAAACTGTCAGCTAGACGTGTTTATCTATGAAATGTTTTTCGCACTGAGAGCCCCAACAGAAGTGAACTCGGCCCTGGACTGAAATAGACATAGGCCATTTGATAACGGTCTTGAATAGACAGCGAATACCTCTTAGAAGAAGTGGTAAGAGATAACCTAAAGTTGGAGTTAGAGTTGGGGATTGGGAGTGTTGATTAGAGAAAGTTTAGTTTAGTTGATCTCAATTTGGTGTCAGAGAATAGGATATACATATAGCATAGTATATATAGGGTATATACTATATACCTATGGTAGTATGTTTCTGGACTTCATTCTCCATATAAGGCCATAGATCTATGCACAAGCCATTAAAGCATTCCAAGGCTAAGCCTCAAGGAAACATAGGATTCTAGGAAGGATCCCAACCCAAAGCCACAAGTATCCCCTCATAATTTGTTCATAATCTTTAAGAAATCCTATTCAAGTATATTCATTACTCTCTCTCTCTCTCTCTCTCTCTCTCTTTTAACATTCTCACTCACTCTCTCTCCCCCTCTCTGTCTTTCACAGCCTTCATGTGCTTTCGCTGGGCGGTAATCTGGTCAACGAGGTGCCCGAGGCGGTTGGTTCCCTCAGCCAGCTGCAGGCGCTGGTGCTCTGCGACAATCTCATCGAGAATCTGCCGATGAGCATTGCGCGCTTGAAGAACCTGAAGTCGCTGCTGCTGCACAAGAATAGACTGAAGCACTTGCCCAAAGACATTGTCGCCCTGAAGAACCTGACCGAGGTGAGCCACTGGGCTAAGCCGATCAGCTTATATAAGATCTGTCTCAATCTCAACTCAATCGATCTTCTGCTCTTCTGCCTTTAGCTGAGCTTGCGCGACAATCCGCTGGTGGTGCGCTTTGTGCAGGACATGGCACTGAAGCCGCCGACGCTGCTGGAGCTGGCCGGGCGCATTGTGAAGGCCAGCGGGCAGCGTCCCGGGCCGGAGGATGTGCCGCGCACCCTGGTCGACTATCTGAACAGCGCCAATTGCTGTGTGAATCCCAACTGCAAGGGCGTCTTCTTCGACAATCGGGTGGAGCACATCAAGTTCGTGGACTTCTGTGGCAAATATCGCGTCCCGCTGCTGCAGTACCTCTGCTCATCGAAGTGCATCGAGCCCGAGGAGCTGTCGCGCGCATCCAGCAGCAATGCGAGCAGCGCCAGCAGCGGCTTCATGATGCGCAAGGTGCTCCTGGGCTAGGCGCGCCCAGTTGACCCGCACCCAGGTCCCGGACCGGATCCGTGATGTGTGCCCAACCGACAAGTCGACGAGTCCGTTAGCCAGTCGGCCAGGCCAACAACGGAACGGAACGGTATCGCTCGTCCGTTGGCTGTGCTCGTGGTTGTTGTTGTTGTTGTCGTTGTTGCTGCTGCTGCTCCTGCTGCTGCTGCTGCTGCTGTTGCTTTTGATGTTGCGCACTCGGATATCCATTGGCTACACTGCATTACCAAATTGTTAACCATATTTGCCATATGAATTTTTTGTTCATTGTTGTGTTATATAATGCTCCCCCTACCCCTAAACCAACCCCCGCAGAAAACATGAAATATATATATCCACACATATATCTATACACACATAAACGCAATAATTTTTATTTAGACATGACATTGATTAGAGGAGAATTCTGATGTGCTAAACACATATAATCCATTGTATAAAGATCGTACTCTCTTCTTGATAATAAACGTTTTCCAATATTTCATTATTAGCTATGTATGAAGTTGATTTGACTTGCTTCTATGTTGGAAAATAAAGGAATTAAAAATTATGATTAAATTCTATATCGAATAGTAAACGAAAGTGGATGATCAACTTTTGAGCTTAATGATAATTGATCATAGATAATACATAAGAGATAAGAGATAATAGTAATTGCTCATTGTGGAACGGGCAATGATACATAAATATAAAATATGACATAATGTGTTCGATCGATTCATGTACGCTCAACAATATGGAAAACTATCATATATATGGAATATAGATCTGCATGAACTTAATTCTCAAACTTACAATTAAAAAAAAATAATAATAATAATTCACGATGTGTCTGTCTGTCTGTGTGTGTGTGTGAGTGCATCTCCAGACGGTTCTGAATGCTCGATTGGGAATACGTTGGAGACATACATACATATATCATAGTATTATATCAGCTATGGCCTAAAGGTAAAACCCTAGATAATCAAGTTATATATCCCACAACTCTTGGGATTGGTCTGCTGTGTGTGTGTCGGTGTGTGTGTATCCTTTTTATCTTCTACTCATTATATTCTATTTATGTATGTGGAGTAGGTGTAAGTATTCATAATAGTCGCTGTCGATCTGCGTGACCGCAGGGAGCCAATCATCATCATTTATTGGACCATTACCTCCTGACTGGTGTCATCCACCTCCATGGCGTCCGGCTCATCCTTGGGCCCGTCGTCGGTGGCCATGTCGCCAATAAGCAAACTGCTCTCGGCCATGACAACCTCCTCGACGACCGCTGTGATCGAGTTCTGTTCGTCCTCCTCGACTGGTGTATCCTCCATGGGCTGATCGTTCAGTGCCAATGTGGGCGTGGCACAGGCTGTAAAAGCAACTGTATCGGTTGCCGGCGCTTCGTCGGCTTCTGTTGCTGGCGGCGATTGAGGCGTGGCCAACTCATCGGTCTCAATGGGAACAGCTGTAACGGGAACAGCTGCAACTGCAACTGCAGCTCCATCTGTATCGGCGGTCGCATCAGCGATCTTCTGCGCCTTCTCTGGATCATCTGCAGCTGGAGCTGCTGCAGCAATCGCAGCCGGCTCAGCAACAGCTGCAGTTGCTGCTTTGGTCTCAGTCTTTTCGGTATTGCTCTCGTCAACAGGGTCTGCCTTGATCTCCAGCTGAGTGTCAGTCTTGGCCTCGGCATCAGGTGCCTTTGCGGCCACAGAATCTCCATCCTTGTCAGCTACAGACTGGCCCGCGACAGCTGCTGGTTCACTGGCCTTTTCTGGTGAGGCCTTTGCTGGTTGCTCCGCCTTCTCAGCTGGCTCCGCTGGCCTGGCGTCCGTGGATGATTTCTTCTCATCAGAATCGTCGACAGCGGCATCTTCGCTCTGCTTCGATGCTTTCTCTGCATCTTTCGCTGGCGAGTCCGACTTCTTTTCAGCTCTCTCCACTTCCTGCTTTTCAACAATTTTCATCTGCCCACCGGCCGCATCTTCCTCGTCCGCACTGGTCAATGGATCCTTGACCTGACTGTCGATGGCTGCATCCTTTACAGTTTCTGCAACGCCTTTGTCAACCTCATCGGGCTCGGCCAATTCTGGAATATCCGCGTTAGGCTCTGTCGTTAGGCTCTTCGCTTCCTTGTCTGCGCTGAATGATTTCTTGACTGGTGCCTCCTCCTCTTCATCGGGTTCCTCAATTTCGGGTATCTCGCGAGCAGCTTCAGTCACATCCGTCTTCAGATCACGGTCTTCATCAGCAGTCTCTGCCTTGGCTTTGTCTGCTTTGGACTTGCTGTTCATGGTGGCGACCTCCTCATCCGCTTCTTCAGCATCCTCTTCGTCGCGCTGCTCATTCTCGTCAAAGTCGAGCTTGGCCTTCTTGGCCTTCGGCGGAGCAGCGGCGCTGTCGTCGCTGCGTGGGCAGCTGGCCTTCATAGCAATGCAATTGGTCTCCTCGATGGGGACGTTGCGGTCATCTCCGTTATTGAAGATGTTCTCGTTCTCCATCTCGATGTCGATGTTGACCTCTAGCGAAATATCCCCATTGCCCACAGAGTCTAGCGAATCGCCATTGTCGCTGTCCGTGCGCTTGCGACCCGGATCAATGGTGCTAACAACTAGATATGAGGACACACACGAGATTAAAGTTCATGTCGTGATCCGCTTACGGCCAACTCCTACTCACCCAGTATATTTTTCTCGAGCGCTCGCATGTACTTGTCGATGCGCGAGTATTGCTTGCGAGGCTCAATCAGTAGCTCACAGAGCCGCTGCACCGTGAAGGGAGCAGCATTGAATAAATCGAGACGCTCCAGCAGGGAGGCCTTCATTGTCTCAAAGTTGAAGGGATCGACGTTCGGGTAATTGGGTATCTCTGTGTGGGCAGAAATTTAAAATTTATTTATCGAAATGGACTACTGACGGGATTCGTGGGATTCACTTACCCTCTAGACGCGGTGGATCCTCGTTAAAGTGCTTGATCACACTTAGCAGCTTTTCGCGGAACAAATACTTGAGGCTGGACCACTTGAAGACGGTGTCGCCGGTCTTGGCCACATACTGCAAATAGTCCTCCAGCTCTTTGGGTATTTCCTTCTGCTTGAGCTGTGTGAAACGCTCTAAAATTTGTAGAATCTCATCGCTGTTCTCCATGGTAACCATTGATGCTCGTTTGAAGCGTAAGCGTTAGCGTTAGAGAAGCCCTACCAAAGCAATGCAAGTTCAATTTGTGTGCATAAACCGGCCGGTCAAAAAATACTCTGGAAAAAAAAAAATAAAAAAAACTTTACTCTATGTGGATGAAAAATTTTCTCCGCTCCCGTGGTAGACACACAAAATCTGAAAGGAAAACTGCAACTATTGCCGGCCGCCCTCCCAATGATTGTGTATATGTGTGTGAGTGTGGCTTAGTGTATACGTGTGTGTGTGTGAGTGCAGCAGGTATGCGCCGAATCAACGACACTAACAAACACGATTGCTCCCTGCTCTCGGCTCCCTGCTCTCGGCTACGAATGCACCAAAGCCGAACAGCTCAGCCTAGTTAGGTACATAGGCTCTCCTTTGATAGATTGGTACATTAGCTTAATTTATTCACGAACCATGAGTGTGATTTGCCTATGCGTGTGTGTATTTATTGAGTAGCTCAACAGGTGTTTTAATTGAAGAAGGCAATAAACTTACACCAATATACAGATATTATTACCGTATATATCAAATTTGAAGCGTAGGTACTCTAGGTGTGCATCGTTTTTAGTAAGCGGCAACTGTGCCCAAGAGCTTCGGGAATGCAGCTCGTCGTTGTGGAGAAGCTGTAATTTGCATTGGTTGGTTGTTCCCAGTGAGGCGCGGGCAGAAAAATACAAAGGAAGGGAGCGAGAGAGAGAGAAAGAGCGAGGGCAGATGCACGATGCACATATACCAACACAAATGCACACATAGAGACCGGGCGCGCTTAAAACTACTACAACTGAGAGCAATTTAAATGAGAGACGAGCGATGTCTGCAAGTTCATCTGGTGAATGGTGGAGGATTCCTTGCGAATTTACACAGAAAAACTAGTTATTTCGCCAGCCTGCACACACACACATGCACACAGCCAGCAACATATGTATGTACTTGATGTATGTATGTATGTATGTACGTATCTAAGTGCGGCTCTCTAGCAAATAGCGACTTGGTTATTGCAGCTGCAGAAGGTTTACATGGATGACTTTATACAAACATATTTACCTAAATTGGCCGGCAAACCGACCGAATGCGTAATAGACCTAATTATAAAACTAGGCTTAATGTTAGTTTTCGGTATTCGCAATTGTTGATTCCGGTGACTAAAGGCAGTTGGGCATTTTATTTACACCTTATTATTAGTAATAAAAGTATGGTAACTATGAATTTACCTGCGATTGCTGATGCGACCACTGGAGCACTATCACACTTATTATTATATTATAATTAAATATATTTATTTATTTTGCTCCGCTTCACACTATGTAAGCTATTGATATTGTAGACAAACATACCAAAGGCTAATCGATTAGCACGAAGCAAATTTGTGTCACCACTAACTTGATAGGAATATTCTTCGATATATGGGTCCGCATTGTGTATCGAATATAATATTAAATACGTTTGATCCACTCAATGGCTCATATTTAAAAGACTGAAAAAAAAAAAAACAAATAAATACAAATTTGATTATGTAATAAACCAATTTAAAATAAATCAAAATCGCGATGAATGATCCGATAGTGCATATCGATAAGCATTCTCGATTGCCGTACCGGCAACAGGTGCAAACTGATAGCAATCTGAATTATGTACAATTTACGTTTGTTGCGTCAATTGCGCTATAGTCTAGTCCTACAGAACTCTGGAACAGCATTAGCCCATTTACCGCCATGTCGCCTCTTAGCCGGCCAACATAAGCGCAGGCCGCAACTCGGCGCGATACCATCGGATCAGCTGGACCGCCTGAAGAGCGAATATTTCGAACAGCAATGCGCGCTGAGCAATGAGGACTGGCAGCACGTGCGGAGCACACTAACTGAGAGCTACAGGCACGTCAATGGCACCAACGTAGATGCCATCATACTGGGCCTCTGCAGCAGAGCCGAGCAGCTGCCGGTGGCCAAGAGCTATGTCAAGCATTTGCAGACGCAGGGCATCAAGCCCAATGCGGCGACATTGGGACGACTGCTGCGAGTCTACAATGCCGCCTACCACACACGCGAGCTCAGCGAGGCGGAGCAGTCGGAAATTGTGGAAATCTGTGATACGCTGCAAAGCGCCCACGATGTCTTGGATGCCAGCAGTTGTGAGAACTTAATCCTTGGCCTAGTGGCCACCACACAGCACTGGAATCGCGCTCTGCCCCTGCTGGACATGATGCGCCTGACCAGTACGCCAAGTGTGTCCGCCTACAGTGCGCTGATAGCCAAGGCCTTTAGCGCGGATCAGCTAGAGCTGGGCTGGCGTCTACTCGAGGAAATGATCGAAGCGCGCAAGTTGCCCAAATGTGAGATCTTTCTGTCGTTATTGGCGCAGAGTGCCAAGGATGAGCGCACACTGGGTGCCCAGCTGGAGCGGCTGTTCTGCTTCCTCGAGCTGCACGACATCTTGATCAGCGAGCTGGTGGTGCAGCAGCTCTTGGCACTGGCCCAGCGGTTGCCGCAGCGGCTGCAGGTGACCACAACGCGGCTAGAACTGTTTGGCAAGTGCTCAACCTGCCAGCAGAACCTGCAGCATGTAGCCATTAGCGATGCTCAGTTCGCGGAGCTCCGTGAATCGTTTCTACAGAAGGTGCTGATCCGCAACGATGTGTTCCAGAAGACGACGCCGCAGGAGCTGCAGCGCTTCAAGCAGTATGTGGAGAAGACGGCGCCCTATGACTGTGTCATCGATGGCCTCAACGTCGCCTACTCCACCGGCAACAAGAAGCCGCCCGCGCAACTGGCCAAGCTGCTGGCCACCGTGGTGCGCTACTTCAAGGAGCGGCGGAAGCGCGTCCTGGTGCTGGGTCGGCAGCACATGAGCAACTGGTCCAAGCCTGCCATGCAGTATATACAGAGCAATGCGAGCGTCTTCCTCACCAACAATCTGTAAGTGAGCAGCTAATCCTCTCCACATATATATCTATATTGATATATTGATTCTCTTGCAGCACCCACGATGATCCATTCCTGTTGTACGCCACACTGCGCAGCGGCCAGGACACGGACTTCTTCTCGCGTGACTTGATGCGCGCCCACGCCCATCTGCTGGGCACCGAGCTGAAGGCCATCTTCCGGCGCTGGCAGCAGGAGCACCAATACTCGCTGGTCACCCAGACGCAGACGGGCCAGATTATTGTCAAGGAGCCCATTCGCTATCGGCTGAGCGCCCACAAGGTGGGCAATGTCTGGCATGTGCCGTACTGCGAAGCATACACCGCCAATCCCCCAGACAGCTTCGAGGTGCCAGAGAAGTGGCTGTGCATCACCATTGCCCCATGATGCTGGTGCTCGTTATCGGGACAATAAGCCACATCCAAATACAAATACAAATATATTTGAGGGGATAAATGATCCCGAATCAGTACTAACAAAATGTATACAAGAATCGATGTATGAAATGCATTAGAGAATTGAGAAACTCGCTGCGCTCGGACTGTGGAATATGAATTACAGCAGGTGGTGCACGGAATACAGATCCCGTTGATGCTGAGTCCGATTCGTGTCCGGTGTCCGGAGCTACTCGCAGTCGAGGCGGGAGCATTTCTGAAAAGCATTCAAATTCAACGTCGATTGCCGCTTGCGACGCTGCTCGTTTCTGATCTTCTTCTTGGCGGCGCACATGAGACGCTCTTTGATATAGTTGTCCATCTTGAAGTCAAGGTCCGTTGAGGGTTTGGGTGTCTCATTGGGTTCGCGTGTGGCCGCCGTATCCAGCGCCTTGATAATCAAGCTGAGCAGCGCGTGGGCCAAACGATGGCACACATCGTACTCAATGGCATCCTGGCTGGTGTAGTAGATCGCCGACTGCGATGTGGGCTGCACGCCAATCGCCAGCAATATGTTGCAGAATATGCCGCGTTGCATCCGAGCGTACGGATCGACCAGCTGCGGCGGTATGCGCATTGTAGTCGCCAAGTGGGCAATGAATTTCGCAAACTTCTTGATCAGCACATTCAGATATTGTGAGCGACACTGGCGCTCCATTTTGGTCAGCATATTGTAGTACAATTCCTGTTTGCGCTTGAGGAAGTCCTCCTTGCGGCGCTCCTTCTTCTTGGTATTTTTTAGCACATCCTCGAGCTGCCTGCAATTGATGGTTAGTTTAGCATCGATGGAACGAATAGGGATGGGAATGGGAATGGGCATGGGCATGGGCATGGGCATAGACATGGGGAGATCAGCAGCTGGAGCTCAACTTACTCTGTGGTAATGGCATTATATTTGCCCAACATGCGCTTGATGCGCTTGGCCCTCAGTTTGGGATCGTAGATTTCCTTGAATTGCTCATAGTTGTCCATGACCGTGAGCTTTTTGGGCCTCGATAGGGCCACGTCGTAGGCTCGAGCCTTGGGCGGCAACGCTGGCTGGTAGGCCATACGGCGCACATACGACTGCAGCTTGGAGACATTCTCCTCCTGCCGTTTCTTGCGATTCTCCGGGCTGCAGTAGTCTGTATCCTCCTCTTCGGCCTCCTCCGGTGTCGATGAAGGCAGCGCCTCGTCCCAATCAGATACGTTTGAGCTGGCCATAATCTATGTCTTTTTTATTGAACACTTCCGTTTAATTTAAATGTACGCAGAATTTTGTCAGGAAAAAAAAAACAAAAAAAAAAACGCGAGAAAAAAATGTGAGCAAAACTATTGAAATCGAAGAAAAAAAATATTTTGTTGTACATATAGATTTTTTTTACAACATCGATGGAACTGACAATTTACTGTTACACTGTCGAACATAGAATGACTATTGACTGAACTGGCATTGTAGCCCCACATCCAGATAGAAAGTCAAGGCCAACTGCGAAGGGAAATAAGTTAAATTTCGAGCAGTCAATGGTGTCGCCATCTGTTGGCGAGCGGACGTAAGCTCTAAAATGGGGTGGGGGAAAACCAAAAATAATTTAACTATAGAGTATAGATTTTAGTTAGTTGTTTATGCCTTTTGTTACTTAATAATACAATTTCTAATGCCACGAATCTAAATATTACTTTACAAATAAAAATATATATATAGATATATATCTAATAAGCATTAGGTTCCCATGGTCGCCCTTTTAGTAGGGATCATTTTGCACTGAACGCTCCAGGGCGAATGTGTACTCCTCGGCCATGGCATCGACGGATAGCTGGCGCGTCATCAATGCCAGAATACCATCCACTTGCGTCTGTGTGTAATTGAATCGGTCCTTGGTGGCCAATTGCGGCGACAGCTCGAAGGGAATGTCCTGCAGATAGCTGATGGGCGCACTGAGATTGGGTCCAAGTGCGTTTCGAGGCGCCAGCGGCGGAGGATAGGGCATCGGGCCGTACGCTGACTGCGGTATGGGTGGGTACATCATGCCAGCACCAGGCGCTGTGCTCGGATCTGAGTCAGGTTTGCGCTCCACAAATATGAAATCATCGCCGTTGTTCTGCTTGGGTCCATCGGCTGGACCCTGAATCACCTCCTCGGTGGGAGTTTCGGCTGGCTTACGCTTGCCGAACAGTGAAAACATTTTCCGCTTTGTTTTCACCAGCAGCTGTATTACAAATTCCAATATTTACGCAGTTATGACCACAGCAGCTGCGTTTTGTTATTGTATTGACAAAGGTGAATATTGTTATCGATTACACTCTCTAGTCGCTGCACGTAACGATATAGTGTTTATCGAAAATGTTTATGCAACGGTAATTCATCTCCCGCCTAAATGCAAAATGCAACTTTAACTAACATTTGTGTATAATTTTATTATAAATTACGTTCAAGTGAATAATGATATATATTAATAGTATTTATTGAGATCGGGCTTGCCTAGTAGAAGTTGATTAAAAGACAATTAGCAAAATGAAAATATATTATGAATTTGTAAATATATATACATATATAAACATGCATATATATAAAATATTATTTAAATATAAATAAAATAAAAAAAATTAAATAAAATGCTTATAATTTTTTTCAATTTAATGGGACTGCACTAATATTTTTTCATTTGTTGGCAAAAACAAGGAATTTGAAAACAATTGTTTTAAATTATTTGAACAGCGATAAACCAAACACCAGCATCAACGCTCATACTTGGCCAATAAGAACTTGCGACCGTTCCTCCATGGTGAATCGGATTTAGAGACGCATTGTCTACCGCTGCAAGGACAGGGCGCACCCTCTGTATCGCCGCACGCGAAACGTGTGGCGATATATATCGATAGGATGGGAACGGCCCAACAAGCCATGAATGCAACGCTGTGATTGGTTTTGGTTTCAGCTCTTCCAAGCTAACAAAATCTTGTTAACGAAAAACTTAATAAAGATGTCAAAAGCCGACCAGGACCCAAATG